AACCGGGTTAAGTATGTGGTGTGGGGAGGCAAAATAACAAGGCCAGTCACTTTATTTTCTTACCAGGCTATTTCATCGCAACAGTATTTTTATAGCAACACTTCCACCTATTGTACAGTCAGAGAATAAAACAAACCCATTTCACTAACGATCAATCCAACCGGTTAAGAAAGCTGGCTGTGTTGTATGTCTCTCGGTACCTGTGCACCATGCTGATGGCAAGTTTTTCTAAAAGTAGTTTTTATTCTAATTTTATGTTACTATAGTACAGTATTTTCTGCAGTATAAGGCACTTCGTAGTATAAGGCGCACCTTCAATGAATGGCCTATTTCAAAACTGTTTTCATATATATAGTACACCTCATGATAATGTGCATAGAATAGAAGCTACAATAGTGGCTGCAGTTGCATTATGCATCCACCAGATGGAGGTACACTAAAGGGAATACAATACAGCTTTCTTTATATGGCACGTTCACAACCACTCCAGCTGGAACAAAGCGCTACACAGAACATTAAAAATACTAAATCCAAGAAATCAGAATATTGATTCCTATATAAGGCACATCGAATTATAAGGCACACTGTCGGCTTTTGAGAAAATTGAATGCTTTTAGGTGCGCCTAAAACACGGTAACTATTTTTGTGTTGTGAAATACTAATGGTGAGCTGCTGACAAAACAAAACAAAGCTGTGATATCATTTTTGTTCAATTGATGACCAGTCTTATCTGCAATAACCAATCACGGTGGTACTGAAAATCTGATTCGGTACGCAGACGTATACGTCACTTGCTTGCATGCGAGAGTGCTGGACATTTTTCAACGTTTGGCATTTCGTAATATTGCAAGACATGTCATGTTATTATGGATGACGCGTTTCTTTAAGCGCAGTATATGTTGATTTTTATGCAGTGTGGGATCTACTCTGTAATTGTGCAGCATTAAATGTTATTTTTTTTTTTATTTTAATTTGAATTCTGAGCGAGGCTGGCAGTCAGTCAAGTATGCCTCACCTCTGACCCAGCTCATGACCGTAATGACGACAAAGCTATAGAAAATAAATGGAAGGCTTAGGTTTTGGCGAGTTGACATCCTTACAGTATAACGATTCTCTTTATGAGACCACCCAGACATTTTATTATCTCCTGTGTCACAGTTTATTTGTTAAAGACGCCACACAGATGGCTAAAGCCACAAAAAAGTATGTGTTTTAACTGATTATAACTGCAGTTCATGTGCAATAGCAACAAAGTAAATCATACAAGAGCACACAATTTAACCTTGCAGTGCATGGACACGCCTGTGCGTGTTTGTTAAGGTCTGAGCATGCACCAGTACTTAGCAGCAGATGCACAAAGTTGGTTGTTGGCAAAAACAAAGAGAAGCCGTTGGTTAATCAGCTGCCCTGAGGGTGGATATGCTCGGTCCCTCCAGATTCTTCAACTACATGCTCGCGCTCTCCGAAAACTCAGAGGGACCCCGGAGCATTTTCATATCGCACACATTCATCAAAAACCCATAAAACATGTTACCTGATGCTCATTACTCTGTAAATGATTTTTCTCATTGCCCGTCTATGTTTCTATCTTGCACGGAGGTCATAAAGAGAAGCTAATAATGTGCTGATTTCCCAAGATGATGGCTGGAGTTGGTCCTCTTTTCTCTCATTACTTACTGTAATACCGTCATTATATCCCTTCTCATTACATTCCCTCATTACGACAGCAATGATTTTGAATGGGAAGCAGTCACACTTTGAGCGTATCCCTGCTCGAGAATCTGCTCTGACTAATCTCATATTCTCCCTCATCTATTGCCACGAGTGCACCGCCCACCATTGACTTGTGATGGATGGTGTAGGTGAAGCAGGGGGGGTCTTCATAGGGAATCGTTAATGTTACATGACTCCAGCACATACCTAATGGACTTGGATTTTTTTTTTTTTTTACACTTGTATCCAAAACTTTCAAGTCTGTAAAAGCCCCAAAATACAGTGAAACCTCTAAAGTCGAACATTGCTTTTGTCTTACAGTTCAAAATGTGAAGAAAACACACCTCAGGGTGTGTTGATGTGCATCTTCATTTCAACGTGCATCAAAAGATTCACAGAAATTTTTCTTACCCCTCTTTCAATTTAAAATTGGTTGTGTGACTGTTTTTGTTATTGTACCGCAACTCGATTTGAAGTCGGTTGTGTGTCTTTGTGTTTTGTTATTGCACTGCAACATACAGAAATTATGTGCCCCGCAGCCCATTTTATTCACGATTCCGGTGACCACAAGTGTTGACGTAAAGCATGCAGGACAGGCTGAATATGTTATGAGGGGGAGGGAACGTAAAAACCAACAGATAGAATTGTTTATGCGCAAACTGCATGACCTTCAAGTATCAACTTGACAAAGAGCAAAACAAAGTCTACCACCAAGAAGCATCTAAAGTTGCAAAACACGCAAACCAAGATTTTTAAATATTAATATACATTACCTCAAACGTCTGGCTCACATTGCAGGAGTGCAGGGTGCGATTCTGGCTCCAGCCTTCCTGTGTGGAGTTTGCATGTTCTCCCCGTGACTGTGTGGGTTTTTTCCGGGTTCTCCGGTTTCCACTGCGCTGCACCCGGTACCCCTGCACTGTGAGGTCGACGCGCTAACCACTGGACCACCGGGCCGCCGCTTGTTGAATATCTAAAATCTATTCTCGCTTCAAACTTAAGGGAATCAATCCAATAAAAATAGGGGAAAATACAAATTTTAATTTTTCCCCACTCGACATTAACATCATCACTCACACAACATGATTAGTGTCCTGGCTGGCCCACCAATACGACAGTGATGTCCACTATCTTATCTATTGGTGTGGTATTACTGTGGTAATACATAATAGCATCAGAATGCTAATTAAGGGTGTTTGTTAAAAATGCAATTTTGCTTTCTCTCTGCTGGTCTTCAATCAAAGTCTATTCCCTGAAGTGCTTTATGTTCCCACATAGTGCCACGATCGTTCAGCAGGCATCCTGTAATCACTACTTCTGTCAGGAGGTGTTGCTGTTGCTGCCACTCATCCTGAATGACGTAGTCTCCCTTTGAAATATTCACCAAGCATATTTTATGGACATTGAGTCTACCAGACATTGAGTAACATGTAATAACCACGAGCTGGGTCGAATCTGACCCTCTCTTTGCTGAGCGGCACTGGTGATGTTAGCTATGAAAAATACGTGTCGTGGCCTGAATGAAGATTGAGTGTGAAGGCTGCCATGTATGTTCACCATCTCTCAGTGGAGCCCACTGCTTTACTTACAAAGCCTCCGGCAGGCGCAGCTTGAATGCTATTTAAACAGAGCTGGTGAGAGTGGGCCATGGTCCAATCAGCTCCCTCGGTGATGCTCATTTTGATGAATGAGGATATGTGCAAAGTATGGATTACCATTTCCGTTGCGCTTTTTGAATTGCATGTATGGATTCGGCTGGGTGTCGAACGCTTCTTTGCGTTTGTATTTGTGTCGGCGCCATTGTTTGTTGTTGTGGGTGCGAGGGCATGCAAGCCTTTCTTTGAACATTTGTACTCAAAATATTGAATGTGAACAATCGTTTGTCTTGTGTGCTGCAATTGGCCAGCGACCAGTCCAAGGGTCTACCACGCCTCTCGCCCAAATTCAGCTGGTATGGATGATTATTCTCTAAGGTCATTGTCATCATAGTGAAGATGCTTTTCCTCCATAAATTGATTGATATTGATCGCTGTGGGCGGCCCAGTGGCCCACTTGTTAGCGCGTTGACCTCACAGTGCAGAGGTGCCAGGTTCGATTTCAGCTCCGGCCTTCCTGTGTGGCGTTTGCATGTTCTCCACGTGCCTGTGTGGGTTTTCTCCGGGTACTCCGGTTTCCTCCCACATTGCAAAAACATGCATGGTCGGTTAGGGGAACACTCAAAATTGTCCCTAGATGTGAGTGTGGATGGTTTTTTGTCTCTGTGTGCCCCGCGATTGGCTGGCAACCCCCTGCCTACTACCCAAAGATAGCTGGGTATCGGCTCCAGCACGCCCCATGACCCTTGTGAGGAGAGAGCAGTTTGGAAAATGGATGGGTGGATGGACTGATCGCTGCACCGTGATATTAATGTGACTGGTGTCAAAATATTGCGAAAATCATATTATTACCCTTTCATGCACCAATAATTATCACCTGCAACCTGATAACATGATAAACTGTCCACTGTAGTGACCGTTGTCCCTGAAAGGGTTAAAAAGTACTCTGTAATCCCTGAACAAAAAAGTACTGGTGGGGCACCAACCACTTAGGTGGGCAATACTGACTCAGAGAGTAAGAGAGAGACTTCAGGAAAAGTGTCTGCGGTTATTGTTCATTCATCCAGACCTTCCTGAGATCAGAAAAATAGATCTAGAGGATCTAAGCATTCAAATCCTCCCCCTTATTGATTAATTAATGGATTCAAAGGTGTGTTGGTCTACTTTGGTCCATATAGCCCTACTGTGGGGCATCAGCAAAGTTACAGCGAGCACTTTGAAGAGAAAGCTGACAGGGTTATTGTTGTATTTGTCCGCCCTCCATCATGGCATTCTAATGCATGAAAATTGCACCTCAGCAGCATTTAGGCTTACGAACACGGAAATGTTGTGAGCATGAGAAGCAGAGTGTTCTTGCAGCCCATTGAGCAGTGGTGAGTGAGGTGTCGCTCTCAAGCACTGCAGCGAAGATGTATAAGGGTACCGAGGCCAAGTTAACCTCAATAAGTCAGTTATGTTTTCATGTTTTCCCGGTGACGACATCCACTCATCCATATTCTATACCGCTTATTCTGCACAGAGTCACGCCAGCCGCACAACTTTCAGATATACGAATGACGACGCACCCAATGGCCCTTTCCTGTTATAACATTTTGTTTTTGGAAACATTTCAAATGACTGACCGGTTCACACCTGCGTTCACACTTCTTTCCCTCCTAATTCCGTCTCTTCCTTCTCCTCGTCCTCATGCAGGAGTATGCCTGGTCCTGGGCTGCATGATCTTTCCTGATGGATGGGATGCCGAGGTCATCCGGGACATGTGCGGAGAGCATACGGGGAAGTACTCCTTGGGCGACTGCTCAGTACGCTGGGCCTACATGTTGGCCATCATTGGCATCCTCAACGCCCTGGTCCTCTCCTTAATGGCCTTTGTCCTGGGCAACCGGCAAAATGATTTCTACCTGGACGACCTGCAGACTGACAACAAAGGTTAAGACAAGTGTTTGCTGTATTTAAACACTGTAGAATATATTCCCAAACATAGAGTGTGTAGTTTTTGTTGTTGTTTTTATTTTCACGCCCTGGGCCTCCCGGTGGTCCAGTGGTTCGCGCCTCACAGTGCAGAGGTTGTGGGGTCAATCCCGGCTCCAGCCTCCCTGTGTGGAGTTTGCATGTTCTCCTTGGGGCTGTGTGGGTTTTCTCCGGGTACTCCGGTTTCCTCCCACATTCCAAAAGCATGTATGGCAGGCTGAATGAACACTCTAAATCAGGGGTGTCAAACTTGTTTGTGTCGCGGGCCACATTATAGTTGTGGTTTCCCTTGGAGGGCCGTTATGAATTTGGGGAAACCATATACATGTGTAATCCCGTCCACATATTACATACACAGCGCAAAACAAATTGATCAATAACTAGTTTTACAATCAGAAATCAAGAATAATGACTGTTATTGTGGATTACATATGACAATCTGAAATTTTGGTTCAGACTTTAGCAAGCATCATGGAACTTGACATGATTGATTTGCTTTCGCGGGCCACATAAAATCGTGTGGCGGGCCAGATCTGGCCCCCGGGTCTTGACTTTGACACCTGTGCTCTAAATTGTCCTTCAGTGTGAGAGTGAGCGCGGATGGTTGTTCGTGTCTGTGTGCCCTGCGATTGGCTGGCAACCGGTTCAGGGTGTCCCCCGCCTGTTGCCCGAAGACGGCTGGATAGTCTCCAGTGACCCTTGTGACGATAAAGCGGATCGGAAAATGGATGGATGGATTTTCACGCCCTCCACCATTTATAAAAGGACATATGCAGCTGCTTCACTTTACATTGAGGGAGGATTACTACAGGAAGGATTTCCACGGCAAATCAAGATAAAACTCATAAATAAAGTAAAGCTCCTTATTAAATGGGATGTTCCACTCCATTCGGAAAAACTTTGCTGTTTTATGATCAGCTCCAGAATGGAAAGGCCTTTACCCGATAGTATGGCATTTCCAGTGGGTTTTCAAATTCTAAATGACGACAAGGAATTCACTCGGTTTTTCCATTTGAGTTTCAGTGCACCACTCAAAAGCTGGAGAGGCTCCCTCGGCGCGACTCTGACAGTTTGCACAAAGTTGCATCAGGATGCTTGAATCGTTCTCGTTAAGCCGTGAGAAAGCAGAAGACGATTGGAAGGAAGGAATGAAAGGAGGGATCGGGGGCAGAGGAGAGCAGAAGATGTCGCATAGGACGCCAAAAGAAAGAGAGTTCATCGGCTGCAGAGGAGGCAAATAGAGTGACGCCATGGCATAATAGTGACAGGAATAGCGCGACGGCGTAAGACGTGGCAATGGATGGGGGATCGAGATGTAAAGCAGAGAGGAGGCATCGGCTGAGACTGCGAGATTTTCACGAAATTGTCACATAAGATGTCTCACTTCTCCTACGGATCTCTGATGGTTTCCATGGTAACTGGAGATATTCCAGCGCGTGGGCGTGTCTTTCTTTTTTTATCTGATTAACCCCACTGACTGCTTTTTGTCGTTTGTTTGTTTTTTTCTTACACACCGAATGGCCCTATTGTTTCATCAGCTGTGTGAACTTCCTTTTCCTTCCCTCCAGTTTTTACATTCATCGAAATTGAAATTGCTCTCTGGCGGGATTCAAATAATGAGGAAAATTAAACTAGTTTCATGTTAATAGAATAAAAAAAAAACGGCACGGAAAGGGAAGCATTTGAAGAGGAAATGAAATACGTATAAGCCGACACATGCAGCCAAGGAAGGTCTTCATTCAGCCGTAAACAATGACTTTGATGCTTAACTCACACTTACATAAGCATATTAGCGTTTTGCACAAATATGCACTTTCTTCCACTTAAAAAAAAAAAAATGTTCCACATGCTAACGCTGTTGTTCCATTTGTGTCTTTTCAGATTTTGCCGTGTCCAGGGTAAGTACGGAATTTTGCTTTGTCAGTTGCACATGCATTATACGCACATGCACACACACACTCATGTACTCACAAAATGTATCAGGGTGCAAGTACGGGGGACAATTAAACAAAATTACACCATGTCAAATGTGGATACAGAGAGTGAACACACCCAGTAAAAAATGAGAGCATGATGAATAATTTATAATAATAGAGATGGGTGCTTTTAACAGGGGTGTGTTTACTTTCTATAACCTCTGCAAGCTGGATGAAAAATTAAAGGTTAAAATCACATCGGTCAAATTCAAACCCATGCACAGAGGTCAAAATGCAAACAAAACATACATTGAGATTAAATTAGTTGTCATCAAAACGTCAATAAAACACATTCACTTCGTAAACAAAACTTTTTAAGGTTGCTCTTGTTTTCAGCCCAATTAGAGTGCATTGACAAAATCTTTAAAAAACAAACAAACAAAAAAAAAACCTTTCTCGTGAGAACAGGTGTTACTGTGATATTGCGATTTGTCATTTCCCCTCTGTGCATAATGCCAAAGCGAACGTGTGCCTGTGTGTGTGTGTGTGTGTGTGTGTGTGTGTGTGTGTGTTTTGCTGGGGGGTACGTACTGGAGGGCGTTTAATACAGGTATTTCCCTGGCTCCAAAATAATGAATCGTCTGAGTGCCAAAGAGTTTAATTTCATGGCAAATTAATCAGATAAAAGGACTGGAGCAAGTTGTGAATTTGTCTTTTGGTAGCTATTCATGGGAAGGCTATGTAGACAAGTCCCAAGAGGAGCCAATGCAGGGATCGGAGGAAAAAAAAATAAAACTCGGCAAATGTTGAATAAAATTACTTAAGAGTCGCCAAATCCACCATCTGGTGTATTCTTTTAACAGGGAGCTCAAGTGACATTTACAATGTGACAGGTTATGCTTGCTGTGGATGCCTGGTGAGAACTTTAAATCATCAAAACATTGGCTCCGGCAGTCAGGGTGAGAGTGAGAAACCTGGATAGAAAAACCTACAATAGTGGCTGCGGTTGCGTTTTGCATCCACTAGATGGAGCTACGCTAAAGCGAATACAATACAATACAGCTTTATTTATATTGAGCCTTGACAACGGCTGCAGCTGTGACAAAGCTATTAAAGAATTTTTAAAATACTACCTCCAAGAAATCAGAATATTAATCCATATGCAGCTCCCTCAGATGTAGCATGAAGCACAACACGGAGTCCATAAGAACGCGTGGTTTATTCATTAGCAAGCCGTGAGACCTGGTATTGAACACGGACATGAAACGTATAAATACAAATGACATTATAAAAGGATAAATGAAAGACCAAAGTTATGAAGACAAGTGATTCAACAAAAAGTTGTGGATGTCCACAAGGGGCTAAATATCCTTCGAAGTTTCGCTTGTCTCCTTCTTCCTTCGTTTAGTCAGTAGTTAACGATGCTTCTGGTATTATTTGCCTTTCATAATGGCAGCGCAGAGCTCATAAAGTAGTTGTCTGTTTGAGTGCGTGTTGGCGAATGCACATGTCAATTAGTGTCGGGCAGAACCCTTTTAGGTGACAATTAGTTCTTGCTAATAATCACCACTAGATGGCATAGGAACACAAAGAGGGAAACAACTCATTGGACAATGTAAAGAGACTGTAACTAACACCAAATATAAAACGCATCGGATTATAGGGCGCACTGTAAGCTTTTGGGAAAATTGAATGCTTTTAGGTGTGTTTTATAATGCGGAAAATACGGTCGTCTAGAGCAGGGGTCCCCAACCACCGGTCCGCGGACCGGTACCGGTCCGCCGGGCATTTGGTACCGGGCCGCACAGAAAGAACTTGCCTTATTTCTGTTTTATTTATTTCAGAACACGAAAGATGTTTTATTTTGAAAAATTACCGGATTCTCTTTTACATCCGTCTGTGTCACGCTTGACTCACGTCAAGCCACACTTCTCGGTCACGTGACCAATGAGGCTCAAAAACAAAACACTGAAGCCCGCAAAATGAGTAAAAATGCTGCTTGGAGATCACAAATGACAGCGGCCTTAAAAGTACGTTCGAAACAACTGGATCAAAGTTATGGCTGAATACTCTGAGATCGCCACATTAGCACTGTTGCTATTTCCGACATCCTACCTGTGTGAGGTGGGGAGTTTCTGCAACAACGGCGACTAAAACAAAATTACGAAGTAGACTGGACATAAACCACACACTTGAGGTGTCATTGTCTCCTATTATCCCGAGATGGGACTGTCTGATTGCAGAAAATCAAGCTCGGGGCTGTGGTGAGTCGTCATTTTCATGCACTTTGAATTTGTCAATCGTATTTTGAAGGCATTAAACATTACCAGAGGGATAAGAGTGTTGCGACCAGATTAGACGCTCCTTGTGTTTATTATTATATTTCGAAAACACCACAGTTTTCATGCAGCTCATACCATATTATTTTGTTGTATTAATTCGCCACACCTTAAATGCCGGTCCCTGAAAATATTGGCTGACTTAAACCGGTCCGTGGGGCAAAAAAGGTTGGGGACCCCTGGTCTAGAGTACACATGATTTGGTCCTCTGGATTAAATCATGAGGTGCCGGACATCTTAAAGGTAAATCACAGAACTGTATTATGACAATAGATTATTTATTGAGTTTAGTCATTCCTTTGTTGACTCTATTGTGTTCTGTTTTTAAAAAATATAATGTTTTTTTATTTTTAGATTGAGGTTCGGGATAGAAGAGAGCCGAGGTACGGGGTGCAACGTCTCCACTGAGGACGACGTCACACTGGACATCTCTTCTCTTCTTCTAGTATTCCTCTCTGTTTCTCTTTCTCTTCCTCTTCTTCTTCTTCTTCTCTATTTCTCTTCTTCTTTCCAATGATCAGGATATCACCCAATGTCAATACAGACACCACGTGTACAGGATTATGTAAGATAAAACAACAACAACAAAAAAATCCTCAACAACAAATTCATTGGGATGAACTATATTTTGGAAAAAAAGGAAAAAAAATGTGAACGTCTGTACAGTGGATTGAACACTTGACTTTCTCTACAAATCCTTTTCAAGTCTTAATTTTTGTGAGAAACTCTCAATATGAGCAACCATCTTATCTGTCACTGATTTATTTTGACACCACCGTTTCGCAACTTTATCGCTGTGTGTTTTTGTATACATCTTCATAAGCGACGAATGCGATTCCCTGTACAGCAGTTGCGTTTAAATCGGCAATATGGCCGCCGCACGTGACAAAACATCAAGAGCAGCCGGCTGTGAACAACATTTCAAGGAGTGGCCCATAGCAGCTTGACAAACACCTCTGGGAGATTCTCTGCTGTACATAACAAACATTGTAAATAACATTCATAATTGCTTATTTTATATATATATATATATTTTTTTTTTCTTATTGTACCAACACACTAAAGAAAAAGTGTACCGACAGCGCTTCGTTCTTCGTAAGGTGGCCAAGTGTGATTTTTTATTTATTTATTTATTTTTTAACCACCACAATTCTTCAACCAGACTTTGCCATCCAGAGTACAGTAGAACGGGAATTTATGATTCTATGTTTTCTTTGATCTTGATTAGGTTTACATCTCCAATCAGTGGGAGGCCAAAAGCGCTCACTGGACAAGCAACGGTGCCTGCAGCAGTTCCAGGTCACATTGATCGACGCCAGAAGCTGCGTCAGTCAGCACAATAATAAACGTACTGCACCGGGGTAAATTAAGGCGCTAGCAAATTGTAGATTTTAGGGTACGACTTTTGTGCGATACGTACCCTCATTACGGTTTTCATAAACAGTTCATAAAATGGTTGATTGATTATTTAGGTCATCGGTTAAAAGTGAGGACACCTTTATACGATGCCTCTTTGCTTGTTGTAAATGGTCGTCAAAACGATGTCCAAATATTTGACGAAAAGGCTCGAATTTTGCCAGTCACACCTGGAAGCAGTCGTCAAGATTACAGACTAACCACGAAAAGGTAGCAGCACTCGAAGGAACAGTGAGCCCACACTTGTTGCGTAAAGTCATTTATAACATTTAATTTACATTTTACAAATACTGCAACTACTTAATTGCACATTTATGAATCACTCCGATTGTACACATTAACGCCAGTTTGCATGAGAGGCAAAATGTTTGAAAATAGTTTAGCCCCCCCCCCCATCAATAACACATTTATGACCCAATTATAAAGTCTTTCTATCATCAAGGGTTTCTGTTTCTAGAATCACAGAAGTCAGATCGACACCTATACTTGGTAGCCTTCACAAATTCAAGTTTAGCTTCTGAATTTCAAAAAGGGACTCCTTTATGTTTTCCTCACTGAAATTCCTTCACACCAATTCCTTCAGTCAGTCATTCACCCCCTCCCTCACCTCACTTTACAGAAGGTAATGTTTACTCACGAGAGAGGGATTTCAGTCTCAAAGTCACATTTCATTTAAAACTGGAAAAAAAAAAAAAACACAACTTGTTTCTTGTATTTGTTTCAAGACATCCTGACAGTATTTTGCTATTTTTGTCGCAAAATGCATCCAGACATTCATGATTTTTTTTTTTTTTGCAACTAGATTCATGTTATTTTATGTCATTTAATTCATATCACTGGTGGGATTTGTGCATGCTAATGGATGGACAATATTTTCATGATATGATAAAATTCGATCATGTTTTTGTAATCCCCCCATTGATTTTTTTTTTTTCTTTCAAGGAATCCGACCAATTTGTGTTGAATCATCAAGTTGTTTTCTCTTATTTCTATTTTCTGATTCACGCATACATGTCCAACACTCACAAAAGTGCTTTTGCACGACACCGGAACAGGAGTAAGATAGAATCTGATCTCTGTGTCTTTTAGCGATTTTGTCATGAAGGTCGATGTATTGCGCATGGGGACAAATCCTGGATTTGCACCTTTATCGGGCTCGACAGTCGAAGGAGGAAGACCTCACTTCCTCGGTGAAGGTATTCCTAGAATTCCAAACCAATGACACTACTGATATAAGCTTTGTACTACATATGTTGCTACATTGCTGCTCCAATAAACATGTAGCTCCTGTTTTTGCTGCACCAGCAACGCGTGAATGACACAGGACAATTTCAAATATGTAATTTGGTAGGACCTATTGTGTACGACGGTGACAGTAGGCCTTTGTCAAATACAGTGGACCCTTGGAGCTTGGAAGGTTGATTAAAAAAAGTAAAATAAAATAATAATAATGGAATGGAAATTGAGCTGAAATCTCTTGGACGGAAAAAGACCCAAAAAAAAAAGCATTCATAACTCTAAGAAAAGAATGCAAAGTATCCGACTATACGTTCCTCAGTTTCTTTCTTTATTTCTTTCTTTCTTTCTTCGTTATGATGTTTGTGTATATTTATCCTTCCAGGACAATGGAAAGAGAAACAAAACAAATGACCCCCCCAAAAAATAATTAAAGAAGGCTCCCTATATATCACGACCTTCTGGTCAAAGCGTAACCACACACATGAAGCTGAGCCGACATAACTTCATTATGCCACCGCTAACTATCAATTTACATGAAGTCCGTCAGTAAAAATATTTTGACACAGCTTGTGTTCAAATTCCGAAGGTCCACTGTACTGTAAAAGGGCAACCATTAGGACCCTTGGAGCTTGGAAGGTTGATTAAAAAAATAAATAAATAAATAAATAATAATAATAATGGAATGGAAATTGAGCTGAAATCCCTTGGACGGAAGAAGACCAAAAAAAAAAAAATGCATTCATAACTCTAAGAAAAGAATGCAAAGCATCCGACTATTCGTTCCTCAGTTTCTTTCTTTCTTTCTTCATTATGTTGTTTGTGTATATTTATCCTTCCAGGACAATGGAAAGAGAAACAAAACAAATGACCCCCCCAAAAAATAATTAAAGAAGGCTCCCTATATATCACGACCTTCTGGTCAAAGCGTAACCACACACATGAAGCTGAGCCGACATAACTTCATTATGCCACCGCTAACTATCAATTTACATGAAGTCCGTCAGTAAAAATATTTTGACACAGCTTGTGTTCAAATTCCGAAGGTCCACTGTACTGTAAAAGGGCAACCATTTGCTTCAACCCTGATTTTGAACTTGATTTTAGCTGCGTAGCATACAGCTGATGTGTGGACAAGTCAACAACTTTAATACTATCGGTCATTTTCCCGCCTCTGACATCTGCAGGTTTGTCTGAAAAGGCACCGTGACTTTGTACCGGCGCGATATGTTTTACCGTCAACGAATCGAAACGCCAATTTCAAACATGAGTCACGCTCCAGCCTACTCTGCAGGAACATCCTTTGACCTTGCTTTCTATAGTCCAGGTACAGTCACGAGCGGATAGCTAGATGTACTCCTCAATGTGTGGTTTTAAAGAAGGCTCCCTATATATCACGGCCGACCTTCCGGTCAAAGCGTAAACACACACATGAAGCTTAGCCGACATAACTTCATTATGCCACCGCTAACTATCAATTTACATGAAGTCCGTCAGTAAAAATATTTTGACACAGCTTGTGTTCAAATTCCGAAGGTCCACTGTACTGTAAAAGGGCAACCATTTGCTTCAACCCTGATTTTGAACTTGATTTTAGCTGCGTAGCATACAGCTGATGTGTGGACAAGTCAACAACTTTAATACTATCGGTCATTTTCCCGCCTCTGACATCTGCAGGTTTGTCTGAAAAGGCACCGTGACTTCGTACCGGCGCGATATGTTTTACCGTCAACGAATCGAAACGCCAATTTCAAACATGAGTCATGCTCCAGCCTACTCTGCAGGAAGATCCTTTGACCTTGCTTTATATTGTCCAGGTACAGTCATGAGCGGATAGCTAGATGTACTCCTCAATGTGTGGTTATTTTTGTTGGATGCTAGCTAGCTAACTCTCAGGAAGCTGTATGTACACAGCACTGTATTTTTGGCTCCTAATGGAAAATAAGTACGTCTTGCAGACACGCGGGTGTGCTGGTGTCCCTTGTTGGTTCCCTTTTGACGCTTTTTGGATTGACAACTCTGGGTTTACAAGCTGGGCCAAACAGGCAATATATGAAAATAGCCCTTATGCTGAATCTAACGATGCTGTCGCGCTCACAATTTTCGCCTCATCAACCATCGCAGTGCCAAGCCTTGATTTGAAACCACCGATGAACTGTGTACAAATCATTGTTATAATATGTAAAGGATGTGGTCAAAAATTTGATTTTTTTTTCACCCCCTTCTTCCCTTACGCTTTTTAGAGAACTAGTCCTCATGCTGACACCTAAGCATGGACATTTTCCATCTCTGTGCTTTGCATAAAGAAGGTGGTAATGTGTCTTGATAGGGACTATATCAGGATTTTCTTACCCTCCTCTCACTTGGGAATACTTTTAAGGGTCCGGGGTGTATTTCACAAAACAAACGAAAACTCGAAAGAGGCTTATGTAGTCCTTTTCGGACTTCCGAGCGTCATTGGCCGCACATCAGCCAGTCCTGGGCTCCACGTTTGCCAATCCCGAGGAGTGGACGCCAAACTGAAATAAACCTTGACAAGGAGCTGACGCTATCTTAACCCTGATGAGCACATCTTTCTACTACTCCAGGTGCCTCTAAGAACTCTTGATCCAGACGTGGTGCAGAACCAGCAAACCAAGTAGTGACACTGTAGGGTTGTTGTGTTTGTTTGTTTGTTTTTTTTTTCTACTCAAAGACTACAACACTTCGACTGAGCGCTCAAGTGACGTGAGATGGATCTGACTGAGAATTAGGGGGGGGGTCCACTCAGATTGGAGTCGAGCAAAAGAACTAAGATGCCCCACTTGATTATTAACTTGGATTTGGGGGCAAATGTTTCTCTACTTTGAATTAAAGAACTTGATCTTAAATTCAAAGACAGAAAGAAACGTCGAGAGGGGGCGGGGGGAAAGGTATTTTTCCGATTTCCCTAAAATATTTGCTCACCTTGTGTATGTCGTTGAAGTGTTTTGTCATGCAATACCATGTATAAAGACATCTTGCTGGGAGGGGGGTGGGTGGAGTACGGGGCAAAATATGACTAACGTCCAGTGATTATGTTCTGATTCTCGTTGACTTTTGTATTCATTCTTGAAATGTTGCCAAAATATCACGTATGAGGAGAATTTTTTTTTTTGGTTTTGCTTTTTCTAAAATTGTGTTGGTTTGTTTTGTGTTACAAAAATGATTCTGTGAGCATATATGTCAGAAGGTTGGTTTGATTAATGTTTTGCTCTCTATTAAGGTTTCCATTTGCTGTATTTTCATATGATGTTTGTCGTTTTGTCACAACCAGATGATTTTTCTCAATTGATTTCAACTCACTAATCAATGATTTCCTGTTAGACTCAACACCCCAAAAACACACTTATTTAAAATAAGAAAAAGAGAGAGAGAGAGAGAGAGAGAGAGAGAGAGAGTGAGTGAAAGAAGTCAAGTCACGAATTGACTTTGTTGTTGACAGTCTCAAATGAGTTTTGTTGCTTTTCATGGTTTATGCTGACATGATGCCGATTTTGATTTTGTCGTTATCTTGTCTAATTAATTGCTCTATGTGAATAGTATTACAACTCACTGCGACAATTTCTGTTACTCAAACACATTTTGAGAAAGTCGAATAAAAAAATATTTTACATTCGAAGGAAAAGTTTGGTTTGTGTAATGCTTCGATGCAAACTCCTTCATGGGGCATTTTGCCTCAATCGCAGAAGTGCACTTTTTTTTTATTTTTTTAAATCAATACATTTTTGAAATTTCCAAGCATCGTATTAAATGGAACATTATCATTTCTCTCAAGACAAACTTTTTTTTTAAATCTAGCTCTTTGCGGCGGATTGCTTTTAACTGCTCAAGTGTACCTTGAGCAGCATCTAATGAAGAGACCCGTCTTTGTGAGTCATGAACAAATATGAAGTCCGTGGCAGGTGTTTATCCATCTTGATGCAGCAAGTTGAGGTTCAGTCAAACAAGAGACTGTTGATGTCATTTACATCCGCAGCGCTGTGGGTGAGTCACACAACCCAAAATATCTCAACACGCGCACACACACACACACACACACACACACACACACACACACACACACACACACACAGCCAGAGTGGCATTGGGTAACAGCGCCAGCCGCTGTGTGAATCCTGTAAATATTGTCCGGTTAAACGTCTGTTCATCATCAGTGGCTCTTTTCCTCTGTGTGGTCTGACTCGAGCAACCGCCACACTTTGTTGCACGTCAGCGATATTAAATTGTATCCTGAATTCAACCAAGTTGGTGTGTGTCCAACTACTCCACTTTTGCATCCAATGTTTAACTTGAAGAAACCCTACAACAGGGGTCTTCCATCGTGTTCCTCGAGCGCCGCTGTCCTGCCAGTTTTCAATCTCTCCCTTCTGCAACACCATCCAGCCATCCATCAACCGAGCCCCTTGTCCTCACTTGCCTCTCCTGGCTGTCTTCAGCTGAATTGGTTGACAGCCCATCGCAGGGCACACATA